GGTAGATCTTCCTCCATCCTTTTATTTTGAGCCTATGTGTATCTGCATGTGAGATGGGTCTTGACTCTTTATCCAATTTGCCAGTGTGTGTCTTTTAGTTGGACCACTTAGTCCATTTACATTTAAGATTAATATTGTTATGTGTGAACTTGATCCTGTCATTGTGCTATTAGCTGGTTATTTTGCTTGCTAGTTGATGCAGTTTCTTCCTAGCATCGATAGACTTTACATTTTGACATGTTTTTGCAATGGCTGGTACCTGTTGTTCCTTTCCATGTTTAGTGCTTCCTTCAGGATCTCTTGTAGGGCAGGCCTGGTGGTGACAAAATCTCTAAGCATTTGCTTGTCTGTAAAGGATTTTATTTCTCCTTCACTTATGAAACTTAGTTTGCCTGGATATGAAATTCTGGGTTGAAAATTCTTTTCTTTAAGAATGTTGAATATTGGCCCCCACTCTCTTCTGGCTTGGAGAGTTTCTGCCGAGAGAGCTGCTGTTAGTCTGATGGGCTTCCCTTTGTGTGTAACCCGACCTTTCTCTCTGGCTGCCCTTAACATTTTTTCCTTCATTTCAGCTTTGGTGAATCTGACAATTATGTGTCTTGGAGTTGTTCTTCTCGAGGAGTATCTTTGTGGCGTTCTCTGTATTTCCTAAATTTGAATGTTGGCCTGCCTTCCTAGATTGGGGAAGTTCTCCTGGGTGATATCCTGCAGAGTGTTTTACAACTTGGTTCCATTTTCCCCATCACTTTCAGGCACACTAATCAGACGTAGATTTGGTCTTTTCACGTAATCCCATATTTCTTGGAGGCTTTGTTCATTTCTTTTTACTCTTATTTCTCTACACTTCTCTTCTCGCTTCATTTCATTCATTTGATCTTCTATCGCTGATACTCTTTCTTCCAGATGATCGAGTTGGTTACTGAAGCTTGTGCATTTGTCATGTAGTTCTCGTGTTATGGTTTTCATCTCTATCAGTTCTTTTAAGAACTTCTCTACATTGGTTATTCTAGTTAGCCATTCGTCAAATCTTTTCTCAATGTTTTTAGTTTATTTGTGCTGGTTACGTAGTTCCTCCTTTAGCTCTGAGAAGTTTGATCGACTGAAGCCTTCTTCTCTCAACTCGTCAAAGTCATTCTCGGTCTAGCTTTGTTCCGTTGGCTGGCGATGAGCTGCGTTCCTTTGCAGGGGGAGATGTGCTCTGATGTTTCGAATTTCCAGCTTTTCTGCACTGCTTTTTCCCCATCTTTGTGGTTTTATCTGCCTTTGGTCTTTGATGATGGTGACGTACTGATGGGGTTTTGGTGTGGGTGTCCTTTCTGTTTGTTAGTTTTCCTTCTAACAGTCAGGACCCTCAACTGTAGGTCTGTTGGAGTTTGCTTGAGGTCCACTCCAGACCCTGTTTGGCTGGGTATCAGCAGTGGAGGCTCAGTTGAAAATGTAGAAATCACCCATCTTCTGTGTTGCTCACACTGGGAGCTGGAGGCTGGAGCTGTTCCTATTCAGGCATCTTGGGCACGCCCCCCACAAAGATAATTTCTTGTAGCAATTGTATAGTTTTAGGTTTTACACTTAGGTCAATGACCCATTTCAAGTAAACTTTTTATGTGATGTGAGATATGCGTTGAGAGATTTTTCTTCTTTTATTTTGACCTCAACACTATTTGTAGAAAAGGTTATCCTTAATTTACTGAATTATCTTGGCAACTTTGTCAAAAATCATTTTATAAGTATGGGTCTATTTTTGGACTCTATTCCATTTACCTATATATATTCTTTTACCAATACCACATTGTTTTGATTCCTTTATAGGAAGAAATTATTCTGTTTTATTCCTTTTTAGGAAGTCTTGAACTCAAGTAATGTGAGTCTGCCAACTTTGTTCTTCTTTTTCAAAATTGTATTGGCTATTTTTAAATCCTTTACCTTTTCTGTATAAATTTTAGAATTTTGTCAATTTCTGCCACGAAGGGTTTTAATTCCACTTATGGCATTCTGGAAAAGGCAAAAATTGCATTAACAAAAATCATTGCTGGTTGCTGGAGGTGGGAGGAGACTGACTACAAAGGGGCACAAAAATTTCTGGGTCATGGGAATGTCTTTACAGCAGCAGTGGTTACTTGACTTTATATTACTATATATCTTTGTCAAAGCTCAGAACTGTATAGCTAGAAGGTTATATTTTACTGTATATAATCAATACCACAACAGACCTGACTTTGAAAAATAAACAAAAAGAACCAGGCTCAATAGTGAATTAGACTGAAATTACATCATGAGCAATCAAGCACACTCATTTATTATATAAAAATCTTTCTGATGTTTATTTTTGAATCGCTTATTCTCCATTTTTCTACGTTAAAGTATTAAGATTAAATGTGTTATGTGGAAAGGATTTGAGGGAAAACTTTTATTTCAACTATATAAATAAATGTGTGTTGAGTTGTGATGTAAAACCTATTTTTTACTGAGAGTCATGGTAAAAATAATTTGAAAAACAGTATCCTAGAAACACTTTTACCCTGTGTGAATAGGAAAACATACAGCAGTGTAAATGCTGCATTATTTTGAAATACTAAAAACTTAGTAACAGGATAAATTCCATATAATGGAATGTGTATGCAGCAATTAAAATGAAATTAGAGCTACAACATAAATAACTCTCAAAAACTTAAGATTGACAAAGAAAAAGGAAGCTGAAGCAGGTTATATACAGTATGATATCATTTATATGCTTTTAAACATGAAAAATTAAGTGATACATTAGGAATGCAAAACATTCAAGTTTTAGCTAATGGCTGCCTCTTGAACAAAGGGGATTCCAGCCATATCTAGTATTTTATTTATTTTTTAAAAGTAAATACAATAAAATGTTTCCTTTTGTCAAAGCTAGGTGTTTTCTCTATACCCTTTATGTTCAAATGTGCTTTAGTGGGTAAGAGAATCATCAGTAACCTAGTCTTGAAAGCCATTGGTTGCAGTGAGTTCTGCCTATGAACCCAGAGGTGAATGCAAAGTAAAAAGTAAAAAAAAAAGTTGGGGGGCAGGGAATACAAAATGGTGAAGAAAAGGCTGGACGTAAAAAGGAATAAAAGCTTATTTGCAGCAACATGGATGGACCTACATGTCATTATGTTGAAATATGCCAGGCCCAGAAAGACAGTATCACATATTCTCACATGTGTGAGCGGACAAACGTGATGTCGTGGATACAGAATATAGAATGATGCCAGAGTGTGAGCATGGGAGGGGAAAATGTAGAGAAGCTGGTGAATGGGCACAAACAGGGTTAGATAAAAGACAAGCTGTATTGCTTGATAGCACATTAGAGTGACTATAATTAGCAACAATATATTGTATATTTAAGTGTAGCTAGAAGAGAGGATATGAAATGTTACCAACCCATAGAAATGATGAATACTCAAGAGGATGGATACCCCAAATACTGACTTTATTATTATGTATATTATGCATGTAACAAATACATTACCCATAAATATGTAAAATATCATGTATCAGTAAAAGAAAAAGGATAGAGGTAAAAATAGGAGAAATGAAAGCAGTCGGTGCACATAAGAGTAATATGCTTGTTATACTGTGTGACTACACTGGTTAAGGAAATTTCTACTGCATATCACCCAAATTTGCCATGAGAGGTTAAGAAAACTTTCCACTTAACAATTTTAAAAATATACAACTAAAACATCCATTATTTAAAAATCAAGATAAAAAAAGAATAGTAATCAAAATTACACCATTGTTGATATACTGTATTCCCTTCTAGGTTTTGTGTTAATACATCTGTACATTTTTTCTTTTTGAAAATGAGATCATACTAAAAGAATCACACTGTTTTATAACCTTTTTTCCCATTCACCAATATGTACTGAAAAACAATATTTTAATGGCTGTATAGTTTTTCCATTATGTTAATGTGTCAATTTACTATGAATCTCCTGTCGTGAGTTATTTTAATTCTAATGTTTCACTAAACATTTTTTAAAACATCTGCAGTAGAATTACAACATCCATCTTTATTTCCCCAAGATAAGTTTGTAGATGCTGAGTGAAAAGGTATGCATATTTTTGAGGGTTTTAGATCCTCTCTAGAATTCTACTTTTCCTGTTAGTATAGGAGAAATAAGAAAAGATGACTGAAATGAAAAGTATATATGTGAGACATTATCAGTTATTCATAGACATGTGTAGATTTTATTTGGAATGCTACAAGTAACATGTTATATACTACTTGGGTCAAAATAAGCTCATTACAAAATAGGTTCTCAAGTAGTTCATTATTCTAGTTAAGGATAAATTGGGTCCTTAAGTTTCCCTTTTTTATCTAAGATATTTTCCTTTGTAAAGAGTACCTGGAAACTCAGAAGTACCAATGGATTTTGTTTTCTCTATTTTTTAAAATAAAATTAAGACTTCATGACTCCTTTAAGTACTGTAAGAGAAAATGCTCTTGGAATAAAAACCTCTAAGATGCATGACAAAATAAGCTGTCCTCGACAGATAAAATCTTCACCTACTTTGGTCACCAAGGAGGTTCAAATTAGCTGGGTATTAGAAAAGTTTCCATCAGTAGGAAAGGGAAAGCATCCTCTAGAAATAGATGAGTTCTAGTGGTGAGGATATCAATTGAAAGGACATACATGGGATGAAGGCATAAATAAGGTAGAGTCATTGTGGGGATGGCTTATAGAGGAAGAGATGTCTGTGAATTTATCTTCAAATAATTTTCTCATAAATCTTAACAGATCTCAAAACCAGGAGCTATCCAAGTGGTGCAGTGATAAGCGTAGTGCCCCAAGTACATTTTTCTTTTCATTGGTATTCACATAACTAGATACAGTAATAAATGTAATTAGTAAATAGTGAAGTCCATTGTGAAAAGGGCCATGTTTCATTTATTTTTATTTTGCGAGCTTTTAACATGTTTAATAGTAGTAGGCAGTCAATCATTGTTGAACTAAATAACTCATTTTTATTCTTAACAGACTGGATTATGGACAGAACTTGGAAATATTGAGAATAATTTCTTAAAGCCACTTCATATAGGACTTAATATGTCAAAAGCACATTATGAAGCAGAAATTAAAAATAGCCAAGGTTGGTAATGTGCAATTTTGTTTTCAGTTAGGTATAAAAGTAGTCCAATTTTGTAACTGTCATACTCAAATTTAAGAACTTTTTAAAAATCTTATACTTGTTTAGAGACCATAACAGCTAAGCCATTTTATTTATAGTTAAAATTCTTAGCAGATCTATAAGCTAATTTACCTGAAATCAGGTTAATGAAGACTTAAACCAAATTAAAGCATATATTTTAAAGCCTCAAGCTCTAAGAATCTGTATTACAGCTTTTCCATTTGGGTAGCATTCCTTTGGTATTGCATTTCACCCTCAAGTAAATCCATACAAATTATGAAAAAAATCTTAGATCCAGAATTTTTTAAGTCAACAATTCTATAACAATCATGTGATCTCTTCCATATATCTGTGGTGGTGCTTTTATAGGCATTTCCAGAAATGTTGTCTTTTTTAGTATAATGGCTATAATTGATTATATACTAAAGAAAATAGTTTCATGAATCCTATACATGCCAAAATAATGCTATTTATCTAAAGAACTATTAATTCACGTTGCAGAATTTTGATAGTTCATTCTGTTTGCTTATAGCTTAAGTATACCCTGAGCTGTTAAACAGTGGACTTAATTTTTACAAATAACTGACACGTTTTAAGTTAATGAATGATGAAAGTAGCTTATACATTTGTTATTGATATGAGAGTTTAAGTGTCACGCATGATTTTTTTCTTTTCTTACAGAGGCCCAGAAATCTAAAGATCTTTGTTCTATAACTGTAGGTGGAGAAGAGATCCCTAATATGCCTCCTGAAATGCAGCTTAAGGTGATCTGAAATTTTCTTTCCTTTTTCTTTAGAAACAGGATCTTGCTGTCTTGCCCAAGCTGGAGTGCAGTGGCATGATTGTGGCTCACTGCAGCTTCAACTCCCTGGGCTCAAGTGATCCTCCCACCTCAGACTCCCGATTAGCCAGGACTGCAGGTGCACACCACCATGCCTGGCTAATTTTTAGTAGAGATAGGGTCTCACTATGTTGCTCAGGCTGGTCTCCCACTCCTGGCCTCTAGTAATCCTCTCCTCAGCCTCCCAAAGCACAGAAATTACAGGTGTGAACCACTGTACCTGGTCTTAAATATTCCTGAGCTACCTCCAGCTGAAATTTTTTCTATGTTTTGCTTTGTTTGGATTTAAAGGCAGCATTAATAACATTACTTTTTCTTGGCATTGCAGGTCCTACATTCAGCTCTTTTCACATTTGATTTGATTGAAAGTGTTCTAGCTCGAGTGGAAGAACTCATTGAAATAAAAACAAAGTCTACCTCTGAAGAAAATATTGGGATAAAGTAAAGTTCTACTTCCTAAATAAAAACTAATAAAATAGAGTAAAAACTAATAAAATAGAGTATTTTCCATTATGATTTATTTAATACCATTATAAAATTTTTCTGCAAAAATTTACTGCTTGAAAAATAAATGTAGCTTCTCTCATTTATCAATTTCTATAATGATATACTATAGAACAGTTTTTTTGTTGTTTTAAAGTTATCTAATGGTAAATAATGCCCACATATGTCCTAAATACTATTTTTGAAAATCCAATACAAACTAATAATTTTGTAACTTCATAAAATGTAATTGAATTGTCTATATTCATTCCTACAGTTTTAGTGAGCTTATAAAAATAGTGATACATTTTCTGCTGAAGTTAGATGCTATGTAACATTTCGGAACTCCTAGTGTCAAGTTGGCTATCACACCAGTGTAAATGAGTAGAAAGTTTTGAATTCAGGCCAGTTGACTTTTTTCTTAGCTTCTCTTTTCCTGGCTTAGGTGGAGTCTTTGGGAGCAGAGTCCCATCACCACCTCTCCAGCAGAAGTTATAATAGGAAAACATCTGCAAAGATTAGTTTTAGAAATACTTGCTACCTTTATGGAAAAAAAACTAAAAAATACATATGATTTGAAGAAACTGATTAGAAAATTATGTATTTTTATTTCCTACTAAATACTTGTCCATCTAAGAAGCTACACCTGAGTTTTATGATATATGTATGTACCAATCCTTTGCTAAACAGCGTTAAATCTCACAGCGAAACTCCTAAAATAAAATCTTTTAATTGTATACATGCTATTTCAAATTAATATGTCTTTAAATAGATATTTGATTATAATTTAACAGTTCTAATTATTTTCACATTCTTTGAGAAGAGCATTAAGTTGGTACTCTAATTTGGGTTAACTGAATCACTATTCAGTTGTATCTTCTGAAGTGTTTTCCAAACAGGACTTTGCTCAATGATGTAAGCTTTAGCTGTTATCATTCTGTAGCAAATGCTATCTATGTATGGTTTGGAGGTAGTCTGGAAGAAGATACAAAGATGCAGCATTATTTACAGAAATAAGATACTTTTACAGGGTCACATTTAAAAATAAATAACTTTCATTCTTTCAGCAAATCTCCTGATCATCTTTGTGCTAAACACTATGTGTGAGTTACTAGAGTAGTCAACAGGAAAATAGTTTCTATCCAAGGAATTTCAAACATGCAAGCCAAAAAGTAGAATACTATAAAAATTGCTTTAATGGGGATATGTTCCAAGTATAAAAGTAAGGAAGACTTAAGTCTGCCTAGGGGGTTTCAGGTGTCTGGGCACACTTTGCAGAGGACAAAAAGCATGAAAAGAAAGTGGACAATTGGTAGATAACATTCCATAAGATAGTATGCTTGCACTCTGACAGTTCATGACTGCAAACTGACCAACTCTTATAACTTTAGAATTTGAATGAAGACATAAGTAACCAATAGGACCAACCAAATGCTCTTTTGGCCCCAAATGAGTCTTAAATGGTAGTGGCTACTGGAAGTAAATTGAGAAGACTTGAGAGACTTAGTTCAGGCTTGGGAAAAAGTTGCATGCTGAAACAGCAACTCCCTAAGGGGAACAGAAGCAAGATATTTGCCAGTCTTGCTCAAAAGGGTGACAACTGGAAGTTAAAAACCTTAAAATGTATATGTGTATGCATCATATTCCCCAGGTGACTCACCTTTGCTATAGTGCACATAAGATTAATAGCATTTACTGTGTTGTGTACTGGAAGTATTCGTAAGTTACGACCCAGGAATCTGAAAAACAATTCATGATATACAGATCATATAACTTACTGACACATGTTCTCTCAAGAAAGTGGGAAGAAGAGACAAATCTCTATTGTTTGTTATTTGTCTATGCAATTCATGCCCTGCCTTACTCCACAGAGGATCTGAGATGGCTTTATAGCCAGAACATCACTGACTAAAAGCCTGTTCACTTTTGGCTTGGTCTTGGAGAAGCCTGGGAAGCATCATGAAGCCAGTCAACTCGATTCATAGAATACCTTTTTGGCCCATGTTTCATTAAATTTGATAGGTTAACATCACAGTGTTCATCATCTAGCAAAACAAAACTCACCTAAAAGAATTAAGAACTGAAATAAATACAATATAAGAAAAATACATCTATAATGCTATTCTTCCATACCTCTGCTGAATTCTGAACATCAGTTTCCATTCTTCAGGCCCATGGAGGGCAGCAGACAAAACCAAAAAACTATTTTGGTGAATGTTAATAAATTTCTCAATTTTGGCTAGCAATGTTTCTTCGGTTGACAGAATACATTCCTTAGTATCCATTAATAAAAATGCAACTCCTAGGAAAGGTAAATGGAATAAAAAACGTCACTTTGTCACAGAGATCAAATTTTGTTATAAACTCAGAATCAACCAAAATAGCTGTAAGTATACCATGTGTCCAAGCCCTAAACTCATAAGGAGTAGAAATTACTATAATGAAATTCCTATACAACAGAATTTAGGTAGTTCTTTGAAGTGCTCTGTATAAAAGAATGACTTGTGCTAAATAAGAGAAAAACATTTTTGGATCAGTAACTACTTATTTTTTCCTAGATGAAGGCATTGTCCACATGAAGATACTGGGTAGTTTAAGATGAATTACATTTAAAAAGTTAATTTTTCGCCGGGCGCGGTGGCTCAAGCCTGTAATCCCAGCACTTTGGGAGGCCGAGACGGGCGGATCACGAGGTCAGGAGATCGAGACCATCCTGGCTAACCCAGTGAAACCTCGTCTCTACTAAAAAAAATACAAAAAACTAGCCGGGCGAGATGGCGGGCGCCTGTAGTCCCAGTTACTCGGGAGGCTGAGGCAGGAGAATGGCGTAAACCCGGGAGGCGGAGCTTGCAGTGAGCTGAGATCTGGCCACTGCACTCCAGCCTGGGCCACAGAGCCAGACTCCGTCTCAAAAAAAAAAAAAGTTAATTTTTCATGTTATACTTTTAAAATAGGTACTAGTGTATTATAAAGGATACAGATGAAGATATGCATAGGGCTAGGTATGTGGGAACGGACATGGAGCTTCAATGCCTTCTCTGGGCCCACCACCCTCCAGACACCTGCATGTGTTCAGCAACCAAGAATCTCCTATAATTATTTTTAAAAGCTGGAAATCAGCTAAATAAAGAGTCTTAAGCAAGCCTTCGGCTGGGTGCGGTGGCTCACGCCTGTAATCCCAGCACTTTGGGAGGCCAAGGCAGGCAGATCACAAGGTCAGGAGTTCGAGACCAGCCTGACCAACGTGGTGAAACCCTGTCTCTACTAAAAATACAAAAATTAGCCAGGTGTGGTGGCGTGTGCCTGTAATCACAGCTACTCAGGAGGCTGAGGCAGGAGAATCGCTTGAACTCGGGAGGCAGAGGTTGCAGTGAGCTGAGATCATGCCGTTGCACTCCAGCCTGGGCGACAGAGCACGACTCCATCTCAAAAAAAAAAAAAAAAAAAGCCTTCAGTGATTTCTTGTTGGGGGAACCTTTCTACCAGAACATAAAGAACTATATAAAAACTAGCCGGGTGTGGTGGCGGGCACCTGTAGTCCCAGCTGCACGGGAGGCTGAGGCAGGAGAATGGCGTGAACCCGGGAAGCGGAGCTTGCAGTGAGCAGAGATCGCGCCACTGCACTCCAGCCTGGGCGACAAAGTGAGACTCCATCTCAAAAAATAAAAAATTTTAAAAAAGGATTATATAAATTAATACACTCAGCAGATATCTGCAATCTCTGAAAGAGTGTCTGTGCCATTAAGAATGGTCCTAAAGGGAAACTTGATTATAGCTCTTCAAACGATGTGGGAGACAGTCTGAGGAAAGTGACTGTGATTATATACTAATTGAGTAAACTTGGGCAACTTACATAACCTGTCTGAACATGAGTTTCCTCTTCTGTAACATGGGAGTAAATTTCTCATTAGATTTGTCAGAAGAATTAAATTAGATCATGTATATAAAGTAGCCAAGGCAAATATTCACCAAGTATTTTATTTCTCCCTGGAGGGTTCTGTATTTAACCAGAAGAATGAGTTTGAGGCTATACCACTTTCAGCCTGGAGATCTATTCTAGGAGCTTTTTTGAAAGTGCTTGTCTTCAAAACTGCTAGAAGAGAAGTCTATTTGCAACCCTCCAGATAAAATCCTTTACCTCTACCTTTTTAAAGATCACTTCTGTCATTTCTCAAGCAAAGGTGGAGCTTCCCCCTTCCCATCTCCCCAGTCTTCTCTTATCCTAATCTAATTACTTACTGGACTTTTGTCCATGACTAACAGTTGTACCAGTTGTCATTTCATGAACATTTATTTGTCCCCATGATTCTTTTAGTTAATATTTATATTATATCCAGCAAACAAATCAATACAAATTGATGAAAAACATTTTTTTTTTGTATATCAGTTTTGACAAATGTTGTGGCCTCTGTTAATATAAGTAATAAACTTTCATGTAAGTATAGATTGTTGGGTAAGTGGCTTTTTCTATTTTCACTCAGTTCCAAAGCAAGTAGTTTTTTCCCATCTTCTACCAGACTCCACTAGTTCAGCTTTATTTTAACAATTGTAATCTAAAAGGTAATATATTTTGGAATTGGCCATATGCACTGAGTTTGTAGTAACTAAGTTTTACACAGTTACCCCTCCCAAAAGATAACACCTTAAGCTTATTATATGGCTATGGAACTATAAAGGCATTAGAATTTATACCAACATATTTCATAAGAAACTTAAGGCAGTGAGCAAATATACTGTACCAGAAAGAGAAAATATAATTGATCCATTTTCCACTGAATCTGAATATCGAACTTTGTGGCTTCGATTTTCTAGGGCAGTTGCAACTTCATAACTCTTTTTTAAAAAAATTCAGAAATACAAATTTAAAGCATGCTTACAATTTTATTAAAGCTAAAGAAAACATTAAAAGTTTAATAGGTTATTTTATAACTACCACTTAAAGATATGATCATCAAAAGAGAAATAAATATGCTTTCCATGGAGAAAAAGCTTTAAAAAATGCAAAAACATTTAGTTCTACTAAAACATTTACTTCAAGTTAGGGAGTGAGTTATGTACTACAGTTATGTTACTTAGGAACAGAAAAGACAGCATTAAAAAACTGTATAAACCAGAGCAAATGTAAACTTTTTCTTTTTTAGAGACAGATGAAGTCTCACTTTGTTGCCCAGGCTGACTTCAGATTCCTGAGCTCATGCAATCCTCCCAAAGTAGCTGGGACTATAGGTGTAAGCCACCACACCCAGCTACAAACTTCATTTTAAAAAACAACCTGGGCAGTGGCTCACGCCTGAAATCCCAGCACTTTGGGAGGCCAAGGTGGGCAGGTCATTTGAAGTCAGGAATTTGAGACCAGCCTGACCAACATGGTAAAAGCCCAAAATTTGCTGGGCGTGGTGAGGCATACATGTAGTCCCAGTTACTTGGGAGGCTGAGGTAGGAGAATCACTTGAACTTGGGAGGTGGAGGTTGTAGTGAGCCGAGATTGTGCCGCTGCACTCCAGCCCAGGTGACAGAGCAAGACTCTACCTCAAAAAACAAACAAACAAACAACTTGGAGGCTAGGCATGGTGACCACGGAGACCTTGGAGGCCAAGGCTGGTGGATCATTTGAGTCCAGAAGTTCAAGACCAGCCTGGGGAACATGGCAAAACTTTCTCTACAAAAAATACAAAAAATTAGCTGGGTGTGGTGGCACATGCCTGTAGTCCCAGCTACTCACAAGCTGAGGTGAGAGAATCACTTGAGCCTGGGAGGTTAAGGCTGCAGTGAGCTGTGACTGTACCACTGCACTCCAGCCTGGGTGACAGAGACCCTGTCTCAATAATAATAATAATAATAATAATAATAAAAACAACTTGGAGATAGATTCTGACATGCATTAATGTATAACTATGGAAAATAGGTGGTTGTCTATTTCTTAAATAATTGACAGAACCACATAGTGCCAGACATATACAATACCATCACAGAAGACAACCAATTTTACAATTCATCAATTTACATTACAGTTACTTTAGTATACTTTTAAAATGTTTTAAGCCTTAGGTGAGTCAGAAAACATGTAAGAAAACAGCTATAGGACTCTTGGTTTTAATACTAACCATTTCAAATATCACCTCATTTCCTATTCCACCCAGGCAATTAAATCATATTTCCCACAATACTAAAATCTAGGATTAATAGTTTTTCCTGATAAGATAAAACTTAAACTTGGCCAGGCACAATGGCTCACACCTGTAATCCTAGCACTTTGGGAGGCTGAGGTGAATCACTTGAGCCCAGGAGTTTGAGACCAGCCTGGGCAATGTAGCATGACCTTGTTTCTACCAAAAATTAAAAAATAAATAAAAATAATAAATAAAACTCAAACTTGATAGCTTCCAGACAGATAAAAATCTCTTAGGTAGATTAATTTTATTTTCTATTTTGCCTCAGAACATGTATATTTTAAGCACACAGGCTGAAATTATGTGTAAAATACATGCTTCCTCTCTTTTCTAAAGAGTATTTTGTGTCACTCAGACAGATCCTGACCTACAGTTTAACTGTGGCTCTTTTCTTCTGCTGTTTTAAAATTATATAATGCTTCCAGCAACGGCAGATTAAGTAATTTAGGCCAACCCGCCTACTGAAGGCAACTAGAAAAGCTGGACAATCTTCTAAAATCTGCTTGAATACACCAGAGAGCTAACAGGATAGTAAAAAATTATAAGGTCAACATCTATACAGAAATTCAAATATATGAGCAAGCATTTAGGCCACTTTTTTCCCTGAGGGCATCTGCCAGCTCAGAAAGAGGCAGAAGAGAGGCTGAACAGATCTTTTGACGAAAATAGAACAGTTCTCACAGGGACTATAGCCCAGCTTCAAACCATTTCAATCCCTGAAATTGTATTAAGGTGATAACTGAATTACCAGTGCTTCCCAGCACCTTGTAGAAACACTCTCTAGAGCAACCTTTCTCAATCAGGTCTCCTCATCTGAATTACGGAACAAAGAAAATGATCTGAGTGACTATTGTGTCAATTCTCCCATAGCTAGATGTACAGGAGACAATTTAATTCAACACTCTAGATGTACAGGATACAACTTAATTCATCATATAAAAGAGATGCCTTAGGAGTTGGGTTGTCAGATTTAGCAAATAAAAACAACACAACACTCAGTTAAATGTGAATGCGTGACAAACAATGCAATTTTCAGTATAAGTATGTCCCACGTAATATTTGGGACATAATTATAGTAAATTCACTGTTTATCTGAAATTCAAACTTTTTATTTTTTATTTTTTTTGAGGCAGGGTCTTACACTGTCACCCAGGCTGGAGTGCAATGGCATAATCTTGGACCACTGCAACCTCTGCCTCCTGGGTTCAAATGATTCTCCTACCTCAGCCTCCCAAGTAGCTGGAATTACAGGCACACACCACCATGCCTGGCTAATTTTTGTATTTTTAGTAGAGACAGAGTTTCACCATGTTGGCCAGGCTGGTCTCAAAACTCCTGACCTCAAGTGATCCACCCACCTTGGCCTTCCAGAGTGCTGGGATTATAGGCGTGAGCCACCGCACCTGGCTGGAAATTCAAACTTGAGTGTCCTGTATTTTATCTGGCAACCCTACTTAGGGCATCAGGAATTTAATTTTCTTACAGAATTAAAACCTCTCAAGGGGAAGACAGCATTATTCTAGGCTTCAAATTATTTCTACAATTTTTCAAATACAAATTCCAACATACAATAAAAAATAATCAGACATACAAAGGGACACAATTCCATGAAAAAAAACTATCAGAAACAATAGAGAACAGAAACAGGCCCACAGGGGATACATGTAGTGAAGCTATCAAATACACACCTTAAAACAGCCTGTTTATTATGATCAAGGAGATAAAACATAGCTTAAGAATTTTGGCAAAGAACTGGAAGATATGTTTTAAAATGTAAAAAACATGAGTTAAGAAAGCTCTCTAAAATTTGATTCAAACAGGGCCAGGCACAGTGGCTCAGGCCTGTAATCCCAGCACTTTGGGAAGCCAAGGCAATGTACTGCTTGAGCTCAGGAGTTCAAGACTGGCCTGGGCAATGTAGTGAGACCCTATCTAATTAAAAAACAAATACATAATATAATAAAAAATCTGAGTCAAATCTTTAAAATAAAAAGCAGTGTATTAGGCAGACAAGTGAAGGAAGAAGACAAATATGAGAAGAGTATGAACAGAAAGAGTAACAAAGGTAAAGGCATTCAGACCTAAAGGTATGGTTCTTATACAGTGAGTGGGTAAGGTATATACAAGTCAGATAATTTGGGTACAATGTTAGGAATAATTGCTGGCAGATCATGAGCACCCATATATATCATGCCAATGAATTTCAATAATATCCTATTATCAGGAGGAACCAACTAAAAGAATAAAATAATGGAATGCTAAAAAAAAAAATGAAGGTAAAATTAGAACGTATTGAATTGAGAAAACAATAGGTAAGTCCAAGAGCTGATTCATCAAAATGACCAGGAAGCTAAGTATAGATTTTTCAAAATACATTTCATAGAATATTAGTCCTATTAGATATTAAAAGATGCTCCTGCCTGAAATAAGACTGGGAAATGCTGAATATTATTTCATCTCTTTTGGGGGTTTTATAATGCATTTGAACATATTAAAGTCTCTGAATAATAGTGCAGTAAAAAGAAAACCTAACCAAAACAAAACAAAACAAAAAACACTTGTTTAACTTTGTTTATAGCAGCATCCAAAATAAAATCCATACAATACTCCTTCCTGCATATGTAACATCTATTAATAATCTTTAAAACTAGTATTATGTCAGCCAGGTGCAGTGGCTCACGCCTGTAATCCCAGCACTTTGGGAAGCCATCGTGCAGGTTGGGGTGGGGGCGGGGATCGGAGTTCGAGACCAGCCTGGCCAACGTGGTGAAACCCCATCGCTATTAAAAATACAAAAATTAGCCGGCATGGTGGCAGGCACCTGTGATCCCAGCTACTTGGGAGGCTGAGGCAGGAGAATCACTTGAGCCTGAGAGGCGGAGGTTGCAGTGAGCCAAGATTGTGCCACTACTCCAGCCTGGGCAACAGAGCAAAGCTCCATCTCAAAAAAACAAAAAACAAAAACTAATATGTCTAGCACATCACTCATAAGAAAGAAAATGTAAGTAAAAACAGGAATGAAAAGGGGCACTTAATGGCAGTTTATTAGAAAATTTAAAGAATGACAATATGAAACTTTTCACCACAGAAATGTAAATTTCATAAAGTTCAACTTAATACATTTAAAAGCCTCTATAAAATGGGTAAATGTTTGTAAAAATATAATTTATGAAAACAGACTCACAATAAAGTATAAAACAAAATACAACAAAAACCATAAAACCACACCTTACTATGGAACAATCATTTCTTGCCCCTTCACTCCAGACATCAGCTGGTGTCCATAAGATAAATATTAGGGCAATGGAGAAGTCTTGTGAGCTGAGGGTTGTGAGCTGACCACCTACTCTCAGGCATTCAACTTTCCATCTCTCCCTCTCCAAACTGTAAGGAGACAGTCTCATTCCAATGCTGCCAAGGCTAGAATATCAGTTTCTGGTTCTTTAGCTCTCAAAAAGCCTTAACTAATACATATCTGCATATCTTTACTGTTTCTGGAATTCCTTAACATCTCCATCAGAGTGCTTACAGAAAGAAAAAAAAAGAACTTTAGAAAATCTCCAACCTTCAAAGAATTAAGGAAGTAGGATGTTGAAAATGAACGCAAAAAGTCTATTTATTTATCTTTAAAATACATGTAGCTTATGCACTTCCTGCTCCCCACAACTAATTGTGGACAATCAAGCTAAGAAACTTTTAAAATATTGTTCCATATGAAAGCTGCTTTTAATTTTTTTAAATTAAAGATCAGTGGCCCAAATGCCCCTTTACCTTAAGAGATGAGCTAATAATAATGGTGGTTGTCCATTTTATTTTTTCTTTTCCACTTTCAGCCATCTGTCTGTCTGTAGAGCACCCTAGCTTCTAATGGTGCAACAATCTGAGAAAATTAAGAACAAAAAGAATACAAAGAACTATCTGATGAATAAGTAAATTAAAGATGGAACTAAAACTAGGGTACTGGAGACATTTTAAAGAATATTTGAACATCAAAATTTGACAACAGAAAAAGTATCTGTCTTGTTATACATTTAGCTTATTCAATACTATGCTTCCCATTAACAAGTATCAAATCAATGATTCCCATTTCAGCACACTAAAGAAAGAGGACTTGCATCAAGAACATGTCTGAGGTTTTTATCCTACCTGCAAGCTAAAAAGTTAGCCTGCCAGAGTTTCACTTATACAGACAAAAGACAGACTCAGAGACAAAGGACAGTTTTTTACTCAGAGCAACAGCAGTATAGCCACAGTATCATTTTCTTGCACTAGTTTCTCAAGCCCAATTCCTACAGGGTGATGGGACAAAGGCCAGGTGACATCTGCACACACAGTGGGTTGCATTATAGGAAAGAAACCCAGAGCTTAGGAAACCTCAATCTCTTGTAAGCAAACCTGCCTTCTACTATGGCGAGAAATACTATATCTCAAATAGGGAATACGTGAGGTGGGACCTAAATATTTGCATCTTTTTTTTTTTTTTTTTTTTTTAAAGAGGGTCTCACTCTTTGACCCACAGGCTGGAGTACAGTGGTACAATCCTAGCCTCAAACTCCTAGGCTCAAGCAATCCTCCTGCCTCAGCTTCCGAAGTAGCTAGGACTACAGGTATGCACCACCATGCCTGGCTAATTTTTTTTTTTAACTTGTTGTGGAGATGGCGGGTGGGGGGGGGTCTCCCTATGTTGGCCAAGCCGGTCTTGAACTCCTGGCTTCAAGCGACCCGCAACCTCCTGAAGTGTTAGGATTACAAGCATGAGCCACTGCATCTGGCCAATATGTGCAGTTCTAAGAGGTACACAGGTGATGATGATGATTCTGGTCTGGGGACCACACTTTAAGAACCACTGCACTAAGAGAAGGAAAAGTATTCTGCAGAACAGCAACAACAATGCATCATACAGTGGCAACCAGGTATACAATAAAATAAAATTGCATTTAAGTTCAGCATGCTAAAGTTTATAGTATACGTATCTGAGGTGAGAAGAAAGAAAATCACCATAAACTTAGTAGCATAAAATGGAATCTCACTGTGCTCTAAATTTGCTACTTTTCTAATTTCATTGAGACTGAAAACCCTGAAGTCGTGTTTCCACTTGTCTTCTGCCCATTTTCCTTTAGTTTTTTCTTTTTCTTATACATTTGTAGGATTTCTTTATATATTATAGATATCAGTCCTTTGTCAGCTATGTATTTTCTACCTGTTTGTGACTTGTCTCCCCTCCTTCTTTAGGGTAATTCTTGATACACACAAATTATTATTTCCAATGTAGTCAAATTTATCAATTTTTTCATTTATGGTTAGTGGGTTTTGTTTCTTATTTAAGAAATCTTCCTGGGCAGCCATCTTGCTCTTGCTGCTCACTGAAATTGGAGGACCTTCTCTGCTTCAGATTAACCAACAGCATAAATCAAGAAAAGTTAGCCAAACTTCTGGATCAGGTCCAGACTGGCGGCAAGGGTACGGCTCACAGAAAGAAGACGGTACAAAGAACAGCTACAGCTGATGACAAAAAGCTGGAGAACAGCTCCAAGCTGCCCGACGGCCAGGTCATCACCATCGGCAACTAGCGGTTCCGGTGTCCGGAGGTGCTGTTCCAGCCTTCCTTCCTGGGCATGGAATCCTGCGGAATCCACAAGACCACGTTCAACTGCGTCATGAAGTGTGATGTGGACATCTTCAAAGACCTGTACGCCAACACAGTGCTGTCCAGCGGCACCACCATGTACCCGCACATCGCCAACAGGATGCAGAAGGCAATCACTGCCCTGGCACCTGGCACCATGAAGATCAAGATCATTGCGCCCTGAGAGCGAAAGTACTGAAAGTACTCAGTGTGGATCGGCGGCTCCATCCTGGCCTCACTGTCCACCTTCCAGCAGATGTGGATTAGCAAGCAGGAATATGACAAATTGGGCCCCTCCATTGTTCACCACAAATGCTTCTAAATAGACTGTGAGCACATGCAAAGCTTTTGCTGCATTGGTTAATTCAGAAGTATAAATTTGTCCCTGGCAAATGCATATATCACAAATCTGGAATAAGCCTTTGAAAAGAAACTGTCCTTGAAGCTAGTATCTTATATCAGCACTGGATCGTAGAACTTGTGGCTGATTTTGACCTTGTATTCAAGTCAACTGTTCCCCTTGGTATTTGTTTAATACCCTGTACATATCTTTGATTTCAACCCTTAGTACATGTGGCTTGGTCACTTTGTGGCTGACGTAAGAACATGCTTGTGGAAGACAAGTCTGTGGCTTGGTGAGTCTGCGTGGCCAGCAGTCTCCGATCTGTGCAGGGTATTAATGTGTCAGGACTGAGTGTTCTGGGATTTCTCTAGAGGCTGGCAAGGGCTCCTGAACCAGTTGTTTCTGTCCTTTCAATCAGACAATCTGGAGAGTCACAACTGTATCTAGAAAAACTGCCAGAAGCAAAAGTAAATTCCGTATGGAGGAAGATACCATCCAGAGCCTCAGGTTACAAATTAGTGTTATAATTTTGCAATCATAACATCCAGCACACAGTAAAAAAGTCCTCAGGCATACAAAGAGTTAAGAACAGACTGAAAACCAAGGGGGAAAAGCTGACTGTAAAGAAGAGACCAAGGGGAGACTGAAGTACTGGCATTGTCATATCCAGACTATAACTGATTAATTTGTTCAAAGCAATATATGACAATTGGAGCATTTTGGCAGAAAATTTGAAACTGCAAAAGTAAATAAAATGGAAATTCTGGAAATGAAAAAATATCAAAATTGGAAACAATTCAATGGATAGGCTAAAAAGCATATTACACACAAGTGTGGAATGTAGGTCAGAGGAAAATATCCAGACTGAGGTAGGTTAAGCAAAAGGATAAAGAACGCAGAGAAAAGCATAATACACATACAAGGCATTATGAGGCTTGTGAAATGGTCTAACACAGAGATAACTGAAGTTTGAGAAAGAGAAAAGAGAATGGAGCAGGACCAATACATAAAAATAGAGTGGCCAAGTCAATTTTCCAAAATTGACTAAAGACATCAAGTTGTAGGTTCAAGAGCAATAATAAATCTGAACAGATTAAACTAAGCAACAGATTAACAAGGTAAAACTGAAAACCAAAAAAAAAAAAAAAAAAACTTCAAAGGAGCCAGTGAAGAAAAGGTGTATTACTTTTAAAGGGAAACAGTAAACTGAAAACTGACTTCTCAAAAGAAACATGGTAGCTAGGAGGCAACTGAATAATAACTTTTAAGTACTGAAAGAAAATAATTGTCAACATAGGATTTCATAGCTGAGATTAATATGTTTTTAAAATGGAGAAATAAAGAAAAATTTTATGACAAAAAAATTTTTTTGTCAGAGACTTCATCATCAGTTGACCCACACTTAAAGGAGATACCAGGAGAAGTTCTTCAGGCACAAGGCAAATGATCCCACATGGAAGCACAAAGATGCCAGAGTAAATGAAGACTAATGGAAAGGAGAAATGTAAATACGTGGGTAACTCTAAATCAAGAATGACTACAAATAAGAACAATAATATATAATGAAGTATAAAATAGATGTTCAATTAAAATATACAACAATAGCAAAAAAAAAAAAAAAAAAAAAAAGACATGATGGTAACTGTACCTAAGGTGCTTTAGGTCCTTGAAGTGGTAGAAGTACTCACTTATACTGGATCTTGATAAGTCAATCATGCATTTTGTAATTTCTGAGTTAATCAGCAAATTATGGTTAAAAAAAACTCAACAAGGTAAGAGAAAAACAGATTTAAAGCAAGCAAACAAACAAAAACACTTCAGAAGTCCAAAAGCAAGAAAGAGAGAGAAGAAAGAACATATAACTTGAGGGACAAATAGAAAACAAATAGTGACATGGCATATTAAACCCAAATACATTAGTATCTACAAGTAAGACTAAATTCTACAACTAAAAGAAAAGATTGCCCCAAATGACAGGGAAAAACCATATGCTGCTTACAATAAAAACACTTTAACTACTAGGATATAAAAAGGGTGAAAGTAAAAGGATGGGAAAACATATACCACACAACCATTAACCAAAAGAAAGTTGCTACCATATGTTAACTTGCATCCACGTTAAGAATGAAGAGAACTGTATAAGTGGTAAATAGATGCATAAATGTAAGACTAAATAAGTATGTATTTTCCTCAGTTCTCCTCTTAATTTCTCTAAAAGATGAATATATAAAGCAGTAATTATATTATTGGGTCAAGTGTGTGTGTGTGTGTATGTATGTATGTGTGTATGTGTGTGCATGCATGCACGTATGTGTGCATATGAGTATATTGGGAGGAAATGGAGCTATATTGGTGCAAAGTTTCTCTATTTTTCCATAATTAAATTAGTGTTAATCTGAAATAATAAATTAAAATGCATATTATAGTATCCAGAGAAGGCACTAAGAAAAATAACAGAAAAAATTTAAAAGTCAGAGGAATCAAAGTGGTTTACTACAAAATATTCATATAACACAAAAAAGGTAGTAAAGAAGGAACAGAGGAACAAACAAGACATCTAGAAACTAAATAGCAAAATGACAGACTTAATAGTGGTGATGGCTGTACCTCATTAGTGGATATACTAAAAATCACTGACTTGTACATTTTTAAATGTATTTAATGTCACATGACTTATATCTCAATTTTAAAAATTTTTAAATAGCAGTCAGCCATACTGAGTAATTACATTAAAATGTGAATGGATAAAATGTTACAGTCAAACCAAAATCCAACTATATGTTGTCTTCAGATTCAAGGATACAAATAGGTTGAAAGTAAAAGAACGGAAAAAGATACATCATGCAAACAGTAACCATAAGAGAGCTGGAGTGGCTATATTGATAAAAAAACAAAATAGACTTTAAGATAAATATAAATTGAGACAAAGAAAGATGTATTATAATGATAAAAAGGTCAATATATACATTCCTTATATATTGTATATTCATCTAACAGAGCTCCAAAATACATGAAACTAAAGTCATACAAACCACAATAGAATTAAAAATTAATATCAATTAAAAACTGGGGGAAAAGCCACAAATACCTGGAAATCAAACACACACTTCTAAGTAACCCATAGATCAAAGAATAAATCATAATGGATGTTAGGCAATGTTTTGAAATGAGTGAAAACAAAACATATAAAAATTTATGAAATGTAGCTAAAGGAATACTTAGAGGGAAACATATAGCTTTAAAAGACTAAATTAGGCTGGGTGCAGTGGCTCACGCCTGTAATCCTAACACTTTGGGGACCCAAGGCCAGTGGATTGCTGGAGCCCAGGAGTTTGTGCCCAGCCTGGGCAACATGGCAAAACTTCGTCTCTACAAAAAATACAAAAATCAGCTGGGTATGGTGGCACACGACTCTAGTTGCAACTACTCGGGAGGCTGAGGAGGGAGGATCACCTGAGCCTGGGGAGGTTGAGATGACTGCTCCACTGCACACTAGCCAGCCTGGGTGACAGAGTGAGACCCTGTCTCAAGAGAAAAAAAAAAAAAAAGAGGCTAAACTGGAAAAGAAGAATTATGTCAAATTAATACCTTATTCCATATTATATTAAAAGAGGAAGAGGCTGGGCACAGTGGCTCATGCCTGTAATACCAGCACTTTGGGAGGCCGAGGTGGGCAGATCATGAGGTCAAGAGACCTGCTTTCTATCAGACAATCTGGAGAGTCACAGCTGTATCTAGAAAAACTGTCTGCCAGAAGACCATCCTGGCCAACATGGTGAAACCCCATCTCCACCAAAAATACCAAAATCAGCTGGGTGTGGTGGCACGCGCCTGTAGTCCCAGGTACTCGAGAGGCTGAGGTAGGAGAATCGCCTGAATTCAGGAGGCAGAGGTTGCAGTGAGCCTAGATCGTGCCACTGCATGCCAGCCTGGCAGCAGAGCAAGACTCAGTCTCAAAAAAAAAAAAAAAAGAATAAATTAAACCCAAAGCAATGGGAAAAAAAGGAAGTAATAAAGATTAAAGCAGAAATCAATAGAATAAAAATAGAATAAAGAAAATAAACAGTTCTTTGAAAAGATCAACAACATTGACAAACATTGAGCTAGACTGTCTTTACAACAAACAGTGCTGGAACAATTCAATATCAGTATGTTTTAGAAAATGAACTCGGATCCATTCCATATACCATACCCAAAATTTAACTCAGAATGAATCACAGGCCTACATGTAAAACATAAAACTATAAATCTTCTAGATGAAAATAGGACACAATAATTGTGACCTTGAGTTAGGTAAATAATTTTTAGTATGACACCAAAAACACAATCCATAAAAGAAAACAAATTGATAAACTGGACTTCATCTAAGTTAAAAACTTATGTCTGGCTGGGCACAGTGGCTCATGCCTCTAATCCAGCACTTTGGGAGGCTGAGGCAAGCAGATCATGAGGTC